GCTAGTGCCGCTTGGGAGGAGGAAAGGTCTTCTCGCGTCCGCGTGGGCAACTTGGTCTGCGGTAGGAGTAAAGTTCTCGACTACGCGTGCATCGGCATCTTGTAGGAGATGGGTCATCTCAACTACGTGGGTGGGAGGTCGGTTGGCTGCGTTGAACTTGAACGGCAAATCTGTATGCCATGATAGTCTTCGCTGAGAGGAGGATAAGGCACCGTTGGCAGTAGAATTAGAATGAGAACTTGGAATGGAGGTCTGGATATCGGCGCTCATAGCGAAAAATGGCTCCGTTAAATAGAGAATGAACCACAGCATAAGGTCCGTGGGCTGCGAGCGATTGAGCATCTCCCTCTTGCTTCACGACAGGGTGTCATTAATGAAATTCTCAATTTTTTTGCCAAATGAGATGACACAGGAGAAACTCAGTTGAGGGCGAGGGAGGTCTGACGATGATTGAGCTCGTCCACATCAGAAGTTTAGTTGCGTGTTCATCTCACGATTGGGGTCACCAGTTATAGAAGTTAAGGTTAAAACGATTAACCCTTACACCTACAATCTTTGAGGCCCTGCTTCCATAGGAGATAGGGGAAGTCTTAGGAAGGCCAGAGTAGAAGGAAGAGTTTTTTGTGTACACAATGGAACCTAGAATAGATGGAAGAAGTCTGACTTGGGAAGTCACGTCTATAGGAGTTAAGGTTAAGACGGTTAACCCTAACACCGGAGAGCCAGCCGCGATCCAAGTGCGGTTTTAGCATCAGGCATGCAAGCGGCAGCATTGTCTGGTTGCCTCAAAGGTTATTGGCCGTACAGACTGCATCGATCAAGACGTGCATGCGTCTTATTCGCCGTCGGGAGAGACCAGTCTTTTGCGGATCTGTAATTGGCTGTTGCAGAAGCCGCCCTCAGTGCGGACGTATGCATTAGCAGCAGTGGGCTTTCGGACATGCTCGCCTATGTGGAGTGAGTCACGAGAACGGACAGGGGGTGCCGGGACTTAGCACCTGATCGCAGGCGGCATTCGGCACGCAGGGCAAAAGCGCTGTCCGTCAGATCTTGGGTTCCAAGTGGATGCAAAGAGGCCACTACATATCCACTATATACCATTAATTTTTCTAACTGGTCTCAACTGGTTAGTTCCCCAACAA